TACATTGGTGAAAATCAGGAGGAACTACACCAGAAGATACAGTTTCCTATTGTTTCAGGCCTTGAAATATGAAGATAAAACACACATAACCACAAGAGGTTTATGAAGGAGCATAAACTATTAGACATTCAATATTTTGGCAATGTCATTTATATATTCTACAAAGGTAGAGCATTACTCATCTAACCCATCCAAATGTAAGAGCCATTACCAAAACAGCACTACCTGTGAAAGAGATATATTTCAAGGATAAAGCACAAGATGTAAGCTAATATATTTATTAGTAGTTCCAAAAAAAAAGTCAGATATGGTACTTTTGCAAAAGAACAAACAAGAAAACTCCCAAAACTGCAAAGACATTAATGTAGTTACTGCACCTGCCTGCCAGGGTAACCAATTGCTCCAATATTGCCAGCCATTCCTGGAATTCCCTAAGTAGAAAATGAGGTAGGAAAGAGGGGGAAAAAAAACACACACACACAACAAAGAAACAAACAACACAAAAAACCACAGGTTTAATGTAATGTTAATGTTCTGGAGTTTATTTAAAATTTCTCTTAACATCTCGTCACCTGACAACTTCAGCTCATGAAAAACTGCTTTTTGAGCAAGCTACACAGCAACACCCTAAAATTTACTCATCATACATAAGTAACTTCAGAATTACTTTTCAGTGCAAGTGTCAGTTCTTTCCCCTCCATGATTACTACTTTTCACCTGCTACTTCTTCAAAGATCGAGACACTCTTCTCCTGATGTTAAGAATTACTTTCTTTGTTAGCTGGCTCTTTATTTCACTGCTAAATTATAGTTACCACAGAAAAATGCCTGTGGACCTATAAAAAAAAAAAAAATCACCTCTCATTCATTTAAGATTTGTGTATAAAACACATTAAACCATGGATGATGTTAATGAGTTTCCATCTCCCTTCAAGCATCTATCATCTGTTATCACCATTTCTCTTTCACTGTCATCCAAAAGGAGACTTGTGCTTCCATCTATTCTGCCATAAGGAGCCTTGTTGATGCTAACAAGAAGCATTAGCAATTGATGTCTATGAAATTTACATTGAGATTTCTCCTCAAACTGACATGGAGGTGAGAAAAAGCACTAAAGAACCATTTTCTATATGCTAGTAGATTTCAAATGAATTAAATCAGTAGACATTTTGAAAGAATACAAACTGCATCTAACAAGAATTTCACACCAACCTCTGCCAAGCCAGTGTGGTAGCTGAAGAAAAACAAGCTGGTTGTTTCCATTTTCATTTAGACCATTTTTTTGTTCAACAGTCATCTATAAATAACCTGAATTTTTCATCAAGAACTATCAATTATTTCCTTAAGCTGTCAATAATTTACACTGATTGCTTATACTGAGCTCTTATATTTATCCTTCTATCTTCAATTGTTGATCTGCAGAGTAGAGAGCGATGTGCTTCCATCTCTTACCTGCTCACCCTGTGGCCCTTGCAGTCCTTGATAACCCTTAAGACCCTGCAGGCAGAGAAAGAGATACATGATAAATAAAGTTAAACACACAAAACAGACCTTTCTTCCCTACTCCAATCTCCCATTATCAAGAGAAAAAATAACCAAAATTGTTTTCCTGCAGCATTAGTGTGGTTTGGATTTAGCAGCTTGCATGAAAGCTGAGTTAGAGAAAAGAAATCTTCAAGGCAGTTTAGACAATTTCAAGACATCAACACACTTAAAGATGATTCTGGACTTGTACACTTTTAAACAAAAGAGTACATGGGATGCTGTTCCCAGTTACTGCTGAAAGTGAAGAACTGGATTTGGCACAGTGTATTTCCCCATTGCAAATCCTTGCCACGATGCCTTTTCTGAACAAAGTAGTTCAGAGAAAGGGGGTATAAGTGGAGGGTCATCCCAGACTATTCTAGGATGCTCTCAAGACAGACAGACATTCCAGAAGACATATCCTTTTAAAATTAACATAGACCAAATTCCATCCCTTATACTATGGAATTTATGTTAGTAGGGAGCATTGCCTGTTTTTCATCCCAGATATCTTCCCTGTGGTGCTTGAATCATGAATCTGTCAAACTTTACTCCCTATGCATTGACCTTCTCATACATATTTTAGCTCCTATAAAAAAAAAAAGATAGAACTGAAACCTGCCATCTGAACCAGGACACTTGAAAGGGGAAACCTTCATCTTGGATGTCTTTACACTATACTAAACATATCCAGACAAGATGGCCTAAAAGGGAGGCTGTAACAGTTGCCTGATTGATGCAGAAGCCAAGTGTCTGGTCTCCACATCCCTTGCAAGAGGTACTGGGAATATGCAAGTTCCAAAAAGCTGCAGCTTGAAAGAGGAAGACCAAAACAATCCTTATTCTGGATAGAAATCTGTCATAAATTGACCTCAAAGACCTTGAGTAGCAGGAGTGTCTTGGCTGATGTCAAACATCTGGCTGCCTTGAGGCATGATGATACTCGTTAGTCAGTAGAGACTTGAAGACCCACTGTAATAAGATGGAATTCTGCAACTGATTTCAGCAGAGGTATCCCAAAGTTTTGGATGAGCTTCTGCATGACCACAGAAGTAATTCTGCATGGAAATAATTTTATTATGATATATACAATTAAAAGCTGGAATGATTTTACTTGGTGATTATTTTAGGTAATAGAAGAGAATGACATCTGTAAAGCTTCAAAATTTGCAATTTTGCTATTATAGGCTTGCTTGAAGAGTCTTGATCCAAAAGAGATGTACTCATTAAGAAACCCAAAGGTCTAATTTTCTCCAAACCCAACACAGCAGGTGTGCCCTTTCATTTTGCTAATCATACATAGGACAATGCCAGTTTGCAAAATTATCACCTATTCTGTTTTCAGTCCTCTACTGTAGATTAAGTCTAAATAATTTTTATATGTTATCTTGCATCTAAGGAAGCAGGTCTGCATTGCTGTCAGGGAAAAAAGTACGTAACACAGACATGAGGCAATCTTGGAGAAGGCAGTTAACACAAAAAATCCAAATTTATTATATTAATGCATGCTTAAAACCAATTTTTTTATTTAATTGCTAAAGCAGAACTAAATACACCGGCACAAGCCAGTAACTCACCTTTAGCTTTTAAAAACGTACCTCAGAAAGCCATATAGCTTTTACAATCCCTTCCCACTCGGTATTTAATGAGTTTTATCCATTTCAGAATTTTATCCTCTCTCTGTGCTTAAATGATCAACTAAAGTAGGCTTTGACAGAAGAGATCTCAGTAGTGTATTACTTTCGTACAAGAAGAAAAGGAAAGAAAAAGCTGCTATACAGAGAAACATTCAAGAAGTAGTTTATCACAGTTTAATTTGAACTGGGTCAGTTTAGCTCATTACCTTCTACATAGAAAGTCCTAAAACAAGGCACAAAACTGTGAGATTAAGAAGGAGGACTTATTAGTGGTGTTTATGTTTCTACACAACAGCATTTTACTTTTGCCAGAATAAAAATGCTCTGAATTAATATTTTAAAATAATATGTTCTTATCTTCATTCAGTCTTAACACAGCCTTAATTCACTCTAACTCACTTAATGAATGAAGCTAAACCATGCTGAAATGAATACTATTCCAAAGAAAGAGTTTTCACATTGGCGTTTGCCTATGCCTATGACATAGCTAGTCCTCTTAAAATTCTCAGTTTTTTTATTAATTTGGGTTTGGATCCCTGAGCACACCCATATAAATAAACCCAGTTTTTTTCTGAGCTATGATAAAAGTAAACAAGAAGAATACATGCACTGATTCACAACATTAACTACCTCCCAACTTTTAACGAAGATTTCATGCTCTGATTTAAAAGCTCAATATGGAAGAGAGAGATTTGAAATTTCCAATTACAGCAATACAGACTTCAAGCACATTAGAAAAAACATAGCAAATTGAATGTATACTTAGGTTTGCGTGAGAGAAAAATCTTTTACCACCAACCAATATGACTCAGAAAAGACTTCACAGCAAGTTTAAGTGTCTGAATTCTACCATATGCCTAGCACAGTGGGACCCAGACATACCAAAATGCAGATGTTAAGTCATAACAGCAAGGCCTATTCAAGCCAAGTCTTCCATCTTACTGCTGTTCATTGTGTTTTATTAAAAAGTTCTATCACAGAATCATAGAATGTTTGGGTTGGAAGGGACCTCAAAGATATCCCCTGCCATGGGGAGGGACACCTTCCACTAGACCAGGTTGCTCAAAGCCCCATCCAACCTGGCCTTAAACACTTCCAGGAAGGAGGCATCCACAACTCTTCTAGGCAACCAGTGTCTCAACCACCCCTAAAGTAAAGAATTTCTTCCTAATATCTAACCTAAATCTATCTTCTTTCAGTTTGAAACCATTAGCCCTCACCCTACCCTACATGCCAATTTCTATGCATTTGTTATGAAAATACATCTGGCACAACATCAAATCTGCTAGACACCTGAGAAATCTCTGTAATCTCTAAAAATCAGTAGGTGAAGTATTATACCTAATGCCACAATCATCAGCTACAGAGAGAGACTGATCTTTGAAAAGTGTCAGAAAAAAAAATAATTCTGGACATGGGGTAAGTCTAGCATATAAACAAATTCCTATGCACTGCCACATGAGCCCTTGCAATGCTTACTTATCAGCTCCATGTTGTCACTACATAACACTCAGTTTTGAAAAAACTTCGTCATTTGACAAATGGTTTGTTCAGGTTTCTTTACCTCCACAGATCCACGCTATCTTTTTTGCTCTTGTTTATTAACACAACTAAGATTTCAACCAGCATCTCTTAGGCAGAATATTCTCAGGAATTAATACATACTTCAAGGAAAAAAAAAAGTATACATAGAGAAGATCAACCTTTTCTCCATTTGATTCAGTAGAGGGATTTCTCTCACAGAGTTGAAGTTTCCTTCTGCTCAAGGAAAATTGCACTCTTTAGGAAAAGCACTCAGATACGTGATGGCATAATGTTGACATAACCACAGGTACTGATTTGAAACTTATCTGTCTTACTCTTTATAGGATACAAAAGTAAAGACAAAAGGAAATACAGAACTCTTCTTAGGTTGCAACCAAGTTTTTCTCCTTCAACTTGTCTCGCCATATTATACTTTAGCATGCAAGTTTTATCAGGATTTTATAGATCCAGATTCCCATTATTTACACATATGAAATAGGGAATAAAGCTAGCCCAAAAACTGTAGCCAATCTTTAAAAAAAACCCACACTTTCCAATGTCATTGTAAATTACCTGCAACACTGCAGTCATTCTAACGTATCCCAGGCAAGCTAACACCCAGGAGCACTGTCCTTTGGCCGACAATCTATCCCCCAGGAATCTGGCCTGGAGGGGCAAATACTTGCCTGTCTGGACAGTGGAATAGTACTTTTGGGGCAGAGGAGAAAGAAGTGGGCTACTGCTGTGTGGGGCCTCTAGACTGATACAAGGGAAGTTTTGAGTGCTGACTTAAAAGATGCTCCATTTACATGATTGTGCAACTGCTCTGGAAAGAAGCTTTCTCCTCAAACTAATCCTCATCTCCTGCCATTGCTTCTTTGCTTCAAAAGTGTCTGAATGGAACAGTCTTCTAAACACTTCATAAACATGTTATTTTCTGTTCTTATGCTAGAACAAATCTGGAGCACTCCCCTGAGCAACATTTGGCTTTTTGTACTGTGTTACAGCCATGAGAAATCTGTCACATTTCATATACAACCACAAGGATGCAGTCTCTTGACACATGGCATGTAATGAAAAATAAAGTCAACCATAATTATGTGTTCCCAGAGCCCTGATTATTAACATACATTTGTTTCACTATCTCACTGAGGAAAACTCACAAACCTATAGATTCTCAGCTTGATATAAAGAAATACACATTTTTTTTATTCTAACCCAAAACAGTATTTATTTAGTGCCCTTGTATTGCATTTCAGGTTTGAAAAATCTTTTTTTGGGGGGTTGAAAAGAATCTTTCCATGAAACACTCCTAACATGATCTCAGATACTCAGAACAAAACCAAAACCACAGAGAATATGGCTTCTCAAAGTAATTCATGTGAAAATAAAGCGGACGGAAACTGCACCCTTGTCTCAAACGTCCATAACACGTTTTTGTACAAATGACAAGTAATATTCCACAGGAATTCTAGAACCAGGCAAACTTTGATGGAGAAAGCTTGTTTAACAGTTTCCTCCACAGTCACAGCCACCACGGCGTGGGGCGATCACGCCCAGTGCGGGACAGCAGCTACTGCAGCACACCCTCCACTTCAGCTTCTCCAAGCCACCACTACAGCTAATGGCAAATGCATCATGAATTCCATAGAGGAAAAAACCTCACATTTCTAGGACTTCCAGGAAAACACTGACAAAAATCAATATGAAAAAAATTAGTTTACATTAAACGAATACAAATTTGTATTATAGTATTAAAAATACTTGGAAAAACATTGGAGTTTTCATTCACTATGGAATATCTCAGTTTAGAAATGACTCAGTTAACACAAGCTGACAGTCAAAACCAAATAAAATTTGGGGCACCACTAAGATGTAGGATTTTTTATTTTTCCATTTTATCTGGATGAGAAAATCTACCAAAAACATGCTATTTATTCAATATTATAGCAAATCCCCAGTAGTACTGGGGTACCAAACAAGAATGGAAGTACTCCATCTTTCTGCAGTTTTTTTTCTTGTAGCTGTTCTACTTCACAGCTACTTGTGCTCATAATGCTTTGAAAACAGTTTCCGAAATCACAATAAGCTAATAGCTTGTTTACTTACAGTAACTAAAGAACAATTACTTAAAACACAGTAAATTGTGGACTTGCCATTAAAAAAAAGTGTGAAATACGTGTAACTGTTTCCAGGTGCAGCGCTGTTCAAAAACTGGCATTCTTACAATCTGGGTCAGGCAGAAGTTACCTTAAACATGGTTCTAGTTAGTGTCTGATGTGTACAACATGGAAACAGAGAGTAAAATTTCCAGTGATCAAGTGAGCACGGTTCTCCACACAGTCTCTAACCCTCTGATAAGGAAAGAATTCTTGTGGCAGGAAGAGAGCATGATGGCCATAAGATTTTAATTTCCTTGCCCCCAGATGTCAGTCTCATAATCCAGAACAACTGAAAGCTGCTTTCCATCTAAAAAGTTTGTTTTTAAAATAAAATTAAAAAATCAAAACCCAGACTTTGTTTTTGGAGCAAAATTATAGACCTAATTAAATAAGAAAGTACAATACTTGGGGAATTTCAAGGTGGCCTAAGGTCAGTGGTGGCAAAAGCCATCAGTGTCCAGGCTGGTGCATTATCTCTAAACAGAGGGATGCAAATTCTTGTCACAGCTATGCATTTTCTCAGCTAGTAGAACTGTGGACCACATGGCTGGCAAAATAAACTTCCATATTCCCCTTGGTCCTAATTCTGTGATAGCTTCCTTTTCTGGACAGATTTTGACGATGTTTTGGTCAATCCTAGAAATTAATTCCTAGTAATTTTTTATTTTTATTTTTATTTTTAATTTTTATGCACTTTAAGATCAAGACAATGTTGAATGAAGGTATTTCTCCTGAATAACACTGCATATAAACTTTAGTTCCAATGCCATTCTGCTGCAAAGGAAGGTTTTGCACTGTTTGCCCTGGAGCCTGACAGAGTGATACTCACAGTACCAACAGCAGGCCTAAAGCCTTTCTGTTGCCTCTTGACCACCTGATAGCCATTGATTTGAGCCAAGAAGAATTACAATTATGAGAATCTTACCTTCTGGCCTTTGATCCCAGGTGGGCCTGGAAAGCCTATGGGGCCTGGATCACCCTGTAAAACAACAAAGTCCAGACCCACTCTGTTTCACTGGAACACAACACTGGCCCAGAAACATGAAGGACTTCTTACCTTTTCTGCATTCTTGGGCATTTGGTATGAAGAAGTACCTAATATTGTTTCATCAGGCATAAATGTTTTAATTTATTTTTAAGGAAGAAAGTTGAAAAGGCAATAGTTCCTTAACTGCAACCACCTGGTGCAATATGCATGCTCCTGCATTATACAATGTGGCCAAATCATTGCTGGAATAGACTTAAGTTCACTGCCTTACAACATTTTCTTTTAGCCAAAGTGGGAGAGAAGAAGCTATACAGTTATTGAGGTAAGTCTTCCCTCAGGAGCAAGTGGTTTCATCTCAAATAAACATATAGATGTAACTATTACTGTTTATAGTTTGTGTTACTGTTATGCCAACAGTCCTCAGCTCGGAATGAGAACACCTCATGTGCTGCTCGAAGCATGGCATAAAGCTAATCGGTGTAAAAGAACACCAGAGACTCAGACAAAGGTGTTATGGTGGCAGATGGCTATTTTCATTCAGTTATTTAATAATACTGTTTGCTTCATTATGGAGAGTGGTCCTGGAGTCCTACAGTGTTCTCTACTTTGCACAAATGTTCCACAATTGAATTACTAGCAAGTGCTCTCAATAAAACATAAAAGATATGCTAAAACAGTATAGACTAACACGAGAATGCAAACATGCAATTACATTTTTAGCATTATCACATTGATTTTGAAGTTTCATATGTAGCCAGAAGATTAGCAATCTAAAAAAGAAATATTCACAAGTTCTCAAGCCCACAATTTTGATGAAGAATCTTTTTAAATATTTATATTCAAATATTTTGTGCATAGACAGCAAACCACTAGTTTGGCTAAAGCAGCTTAACAGGAACTACCAGGAAAAGGCTCTAAAGTAAAAGGACAAACCTTAGCATCAAAAGCTTGTTTAAAAAAGCGGTTAAATAAAACACTGCATGCAATAATGTTTGGACTTGTCATCATCAAATTTTGTCTGTCTTACACAACTTTCTGGACTAATGCAAGGTACTAAATAAAATCACTATCCATACTTTATAATATGGGTGTGAACAGAATTATCTTTCCTTGTTCTAAAAGTACTTCCCTTTTAATTTTTTATTTTTTATAAATGAAATAAAATATTGAATTTAAGTTTCAGCTTTGAGTATAATTTTTTATTTGCCTTTGTCTCAGTAACTCACCTGTCTCTGCAGGTCTACACTCTTGGTCAGTCTCTTGTAATTAGGTGTGAAAATACACCAGTGTTGCAGGAAATACAAAGCAATGTGCTGTTATAACTTGTCTGAATATTAAACAAGATTTCAACAGAAGAATGGGACAGAAAAAACATGTTTCTAGAATTAATATTACCTTTGCCCCGCGTTTTGCCTGTCCTGGAGAGAATCCTGGGTCTCCTTTAGGACCCTGTTATAGAGTAATTAAGGAATTAATATCATCACAGAAGAGAATTGTTAATAATATATGTGGAAACAACTATTTTCAACTGTTACAGCAAAAGGAAGGGGAATGTTCACATAAAATGTACTTATTATTACAGATTTTTTTTCTCATAGCTTTTTCAGTAAATCAACAACAAAATATAACAGTGTGAGTTCACACTGGAATGAGATTTACATTTTCCAAATTTCACAATATCACAAAAATTTTGATAAGCAAACTTAACTGGCAAATCCAAGCAGGATTACAGCACCACCCCAGCTGAAATACTCTCCCCATGTCTCCATCATTTCAGGACACCACCTGTTCCCTGAACACTGTGCCCAATTATTGGGCTGTATTACTGCATCGACTATAACCTTGCCCAGGCTTCCCCATGCTCAGCACAACTGCCCCATGCAGCCCAGACATCATGGCTGGGAAGGATGGAGCTGTAAACATGCAGCAAAAGCCTCTAGTCAGTTACAGAATCACAGAACCATTATGGTTGGAAAGAACCTCTAAGATCACCAAGTCCAACAATCAACACACACACAAAAAAAACCACAACAAAACCCCACAAACCTGGCCACTAGAGCATGTTCTGAAGTACCAAATATACATGGCTTTTGAATACATCCAGGGATGGTGACTCCACCACCTCTCTGGGCAGGCTGTTCCACTGCCTGACCACTCTTTCAGTACATAAATTCTTCTTTATAACCATTCTAAACCTTCCCTGCCAGAACTTCAAGCCATTTCCTCTGGTCCTGTTGTTATTTACTTCGGGAAAGAGGCCAGCACCCACCTCACTACATTGCCCTCCGTAACTACCTTAAAGGTGGTTGGAAGTCTCCCCTCAGGCTCCTTTTCTTCAGACTAAACAGCCCCAGTTCCCTCAGCTGCTCCTCATATGACTTGTTCTCTAGACCATTCACCAGCTTGGTTGCTCTCCTTCCAACACAATCCAGCACCTCAATGTCCTTTTTAGAGTGAGGGTCCCAGCACTGAACACAGTATTTGAGGTGCGGCCTCACCAGAGCAGAGAGCACAATCACTTCCCTACTCCTACTGGCCACGCTATTCCAGATGCAAGTGAGGATCTTACTGGCCCTCTTGGCCACGCGGACGCACTCCCAGCTCACATCAAGCTGGCTGTCAATCAGTGCCCCTTCTGCTGGACAATCAGACCCTTTTCTGCTGGTCAGCTTCCCACCCACTCTTCCGCAGGCCTCTAGTGTTGCAGGGGTTGTTGTGACCGACTGTTAATTACTTCCTGGCAAATGAGACAGCTCATCACTCTTGGGCAAGAATGAGCGTCCACACCCAAGGCTGGGCCGCAGGGAGGGAAGGACTCTGCCCCCTCATCCTTCTCTCCCATTGCAGATAAATCCCCGCTGCCAGGCGAGGCGCAGCCGGGGCTGCTGAGGAGCTGCAGGGGCTGTGTTACTGTGGCCACGGGCAGCCCTGCCACTGCAAACCCACTGCCCTTAGAACAGGAGTCACCAGCAATAGGCACCTTCTGAGACAGCTGTGCATGACCTGCGTCACACTGACTCAGCAGTCACCTGGGGAGCTCCCAGAGCCACAGGCTGAGACCACATTCATGCACTAATAACTGAAAATGCAATAACTGTGGATGAAATAGGGAACCCCTTGGTATAATCCATACTAAAAGCTGCATGCAAAGGGCACTATCATTTCACTGACCTGCTCATACGAACGGCACAGACCACAACAGTACTCTTGATTGCAAAGCTGTAGTGTAACAGTGGGTGTAACAAACATCAGGATCTACTCTTCTCACTCAAAAATATATTTTATGTAGCCAAGGAAATAAATGTTGCTATTAAAGTTACCCCACAGCAACACTAGATTAAATAAGATACGTGCCCTTCATTGAAAGAGATTGAAAGTTGAGAAAATCAGGTATTTAGACATGGCTGTCACAATCCCACCCTCAGATGCAGCGCTGGGTGCTCAGGGGGACACAAGGCTGCCCAGTGCTCAGCCACATTACACCTGCAGCACACGGGGCTTGGGCTCGACCTTTCCTGGGGCCTGATCCTCCCCTTGCTCATCAATCACTGCAGATCTGGGGTTATCCTTCCCCCTGCAGTTAGCTTTGTACCTGTGAGACCACCTGAGACACTAAGCTTGTTGAATACTAAAGACTGGAAATATGGCAGAATTAATCTGTTGTGTTAAATTGATGTGTCAGGTCACAGAGAACACAGCTCTGCAGCGTGGCAAGAGTTATCCAAGGATTTTCCAGCTGATTTATCTTTTGGAAGGCAAAGAGTTATATTCCTTGAACAACTCCAATCCGTCTTCTGCTTCCTTTCTCCAACCCACACACATTAAACTAAGCATTGTGGTGAAATTGTGATCAGCTTTTGGTTAATTAAAATACAGGCCTTCTGATAACTTACACATCACCTTTCCTTCCCCTTACAAGCGTAATTAATTATAATTATTTTTAAACTAAAAAACAAAGAGCCACAGTTACGCATGGCCTTCAGTTGTGGATTAACAACACACCACCACAGATGTGAGGATAAAATAAACTGATTCATTTTTCAGAAAGGCAGGAATACAGCCAAACCTCTTGAATACTTTTAAATTTCTCTAAAAACACCCATCAACTGTTTATCAGGAATTAAATGCTGAGGATATCTGCTATTGTCTGGAACTGCTAGCACATACTCTGGATGGACACTGTCCTGTAAGGCTATAACCTAATGTTTTTCCATGCTTCAAAAGCAAATGCATTAGAGGATGCTTCAGCACAGGAGGGAAGAACACACATCTAAAAGGCAGAATGAAATTCTGCAAATGCCAGAAAATTGTTGCAATTCATCTGGGATGCTGTAAGATCAAACAACAGTGTGTTTCATGTCAGTTTACATGGTCAGACAGTGTGTTTCGTTTCAGCTTATATGGTCGGTATCAGTCAACTGGATCTTCATGGTCAAAACTTGGTAAGCACATGGTTGATTTTTATTTAATGTTTCAGAAGATACTTACATTGAAAAAATAATTTATAGTCTAACAGAAGTTAAAGAGACCACTAAGCACCTAGTAATAATATATATATAGGTACATGCACATACATAGAATTCCTTCTGTTCTTAAAGTCATGGAGATAGCTACAGAATTGATCAGAATTAGGATCCAGTGGAGGGGAAAAATACATTCTAAAACAAACCCTAGCAGTAACAGGCATTCTGTTATACAGTCAACATAAATATTGTAAAAATTAATTATGAATCTCTAACTTTAACTGTTCCTATAGAACTAGATAATAATAAAAGCATACACACAAAGTCACTTGATTTTACAGTGTTTGACACTGAAAGCTTTAATAAATTTCTTTTTATGTCCTCAAGCAGTTTTTAACATCTGTCATGACAGGTCAGATTCCTGCCATTAGGAATCATACTAAAACAAACGGTTGCTGCTATTTTTTCCTAACGTATCTATCAAATTGTTCAAACCAAATATGAGTTGAAGGCATTCTGCAACTGCACAAATCTGTCAAATCTATTTAAAATGCCTGTGTTGCACAAATTGGAAGGATTTCATTTGAGCTTCCAGTCTATTTTTTCTTTGGTTTCAAATATCACATTAATAAATCTTCAGAAAATTATTCTAGCATATTAATCAAGTGATAATGTTCAAAATACTAGAATATTTAAATATGAAAAGTCAGGCACTGACAAAAAAGGGAGGAATTATTAAAGAATTACAGCCTATTTTTCTTCCTTTTTTTTTTTTTAAAGCAAAGCAAAAGTTTACAGCAATTAACTCTTTATTCTCATTACAGTTTATCAAAGAGGCTGAGCTGATTCACAGGAATCTTTTGAGAAGCACAGACTATCTGCATTGACAGCAGTTTCCAGGTTATCATTCTGCACGCACAGAGTTTTATTTCCCCCTGAATCAACCGCTGTTTTGTTTTGATTTGAAGTTCAATTTACTTGATTACATTTAGTTAAAATATGTTTATAGTAACAGTCTCCATCTGTAAAACAAAGAAGGTCAGTTGCTTCTGTTACAGGAAACAGTTCTTTTTAATGTGATTAACAAGCTAATGTATTTACATGGAACATGCATAGTTTAACTCACCTTTGGACCTGGCAACCCTGGCAAACCTGGATTACCATGTGGTCCTGGAATACCCTATAAAAAATGAAAACAAAACACAACAACAAACAAACAAAAAAAATAGTGGGATTATTCAGTACTCCACTGAACAAGTGTGAACAGTTTGCAGAGAATAATTTTACTGCATCATTGTTGCTTTTAGAAGCACTGGTTGGTATTCTCAAGAAATAAAATATGTACATCTTAAAAAATTAAAAGTGAAGTTGAGTACTTCTCTTTCTTTTAAAAATCTCAGTTTCTGTTGTCTGCCCAAGTACTTCTTAACAGGTGTTTTGCAGAGTCACTGTAATCTTGCTCTCCAGCTACAGAACTTGGAGGCATGGGATAAAAATCAGAAAAATCACATTCTGAGGTATCCATTACATTGCAAAGAGACGAAAGTGGATCAGTTCCCACTGACTTAAAAGATGTCTCACAGCAATATATTCTACCTTCTCTAAATAAATCACAGACAAAAACTCTTCACCAACCCGATTCTCCCACAATGTAGAAAATGGACTTGTTACTAGAAGATATGAACTTAAACCATTCCAGGAGCAGAGCAGGTTACCAGGACTATCTACGCCTTCCAGGATAAGTTTCTGTTTCTGAAATACACTCAGCAAACCTCACTCCTTGGCAAACTGCACATCAGGGAAAATATTTGCCAACAGCTGTCAGCAGCTGTTCATCTTCCAAACACTGAAGGACCAAACTGGTGAAAACCTATTCCTGGTAAGATGGCAAAGCAGCTTTTGTTGAATTCACTAAGGCCAAAACGTCACTCAACCAATTAATCCAAATACAAAAAACCAAGAATCCTTTTCAGCTTTCTCATATATTCAGTGGTCTCACAAAAAAAAATAAGTGTTTGTCTTTCCATCACATGAGACTGAACTTGCCAGTTACACCTTGCAGTAACAGTGAGAACTGTACCTGTCAAATGCTCCCTCTCACTAATGAAAATGTCACCATAACTCCACAGAAATGCTAATCCCATGTGGGTTAGAGAGATTAATTTGGACACCAGCAACTTCAGAGGTGCTCTCAGGGATTTTAGGAGAAAGGAAACACAAAAAGTGCCAATGTAGCTAAAGTTACTCCTAGACTGGCTATTCGAAATATTATCTCAGGGTAAGGTACTGCAACTCAAAAGTGCAAAAGTATCCTTGTGAAAAGAGAGACACTGAGAGAATTTAATCTCATCACTAATTCTGAGATTGCTGAAATCATTACTGAAAAAACTCAGAAGAAGCTACAACATGTAGAATACCTTAACTGTCAGATGTGGACCTCTCTGACATCAAAACCAGTTTTAAACAGAAATCTCCAACCATTAGTCAGGCACCGATACCATGCCCAAAGCGTCCAACCCCACATCAGTTTCTGTCAGGATCTGAAGAAGGCCTGGGCAACGGGACTCTGCACTCTGCTGCTTCAACACCTCAAATCACATTTTGGGATAAAAAATGGCAGCTCACATGAAGGCAGACTGAAGTCACAGGGCTGACTGGTAGATGTGGACACATCATCAGGGTTTTATATGCCTCTTGGCTCAAGAAACTCCACTGCCATTCCATGTATCTTCACTAGCTGTACTTGCTTGAATTTGTTAGTATTGTTCAATCTAAAGAGCACTAGCATTTTAAAACATTATTTCTTTGATAAAACCATTTTACAAGATTTCTAGGTCCATATAAGTATGTATTTTATCTGGTATATGTAAATATGTATATTTATCTGGTAAATATTAATTTTGAACATTCCCATGATTTTTCAGGCACCCTATTGTAAGCTGTCTCCTCTTATCAGAAAAAATATGCTACTCAGTAATTAATGCAGAAAACTCCTACAATAAAGCAGTGTGCTCTTAAGTACTCTACACCTGTAAAACAAAAAGACCTGCAGAAAACACAATAACAACACAAAAAAACCCAAAACCAAAACAAAACAAAAACCCCACACCACAAAAACCTGAGATATAATTCTTAGCACCAGGCACAGCTTTAAACATATGGGTAGCCTCCTTCCAACATAAGACAACTTCTCATTTCTGAAGATCTACCCGTATTAGTGGAATCCTGCCTGCGACAAAAGAAGCAACCTCAACAGAGGCACCTTGCAACATAAAAAGCAGAGTTGTAGAAACTGTCAACTCTTAATGTAGAAAAGGTAGTTTGAAAAAAAGACCCAAGAAGCCAGAAAGATATGGATTAGAAAGTATGCTTTTCATTTTATACTTTTAAATGCATCTTGACCACTACCCTATCTCCAGCTGCTCTAAAGCACTAGCCCAGTTTTCAGCCTGTGACCTGTGCACTTTCCTATCCAGTCAGATCAAGTTCCAAAAGCCAATAAGGCACATGGTGTTCAACATGCTATTGTGGAGCAGCTTATTTAAACGTTCCTCAAAGGCTGAGTCAAAACTCCTCCCACACGTCTGCTGAGCCTCCATGTAAACTACTCCCCTTTACCTCCCACTTGCAGTTTGCCTAGATGAGCAGATGCCATCCATAACCATTTACATCCCCAAATACCACGGTCTGAAATCTTGTACACAACAAAAGCTAACCTGTTCCCTCCAGCTGCCCTTCCCCTTAAACTCCTCAAGTCAGCCATGACCCCAGGGACTCCTAAAGCATATTTTTGTACATAATTGTGCAAGCAGAGATTTACCACAGAGTATTTACATTTATTTTTTTTGGTGTAGTCCTTGCACTGGCACAGGCTTCTCCTATGCTCTTGGCAGCTGGGACACGGGTTTCTACTCATGGCAGCAAAGCCTGTGCTCTGTCCCCTGGCACAGGGCAAGGCTGATGTCCCTGCTCATGTTGTAGTGCACTCAGTCACACAAAAGAAATCCATGGTTGCTACATTAGTCCACTCTTTGGCAAATTACCCAGATCTGTTACCTCTTTTGCTAAACTGCT